CATTTTTTAAAAAGAAAAATGAAAATTCTACTTTATAAAAATGTATCGTAGAAGGTGGTAGGTAAGCGCACACGACAACAACGGCTGGACCAGAATTATACCAATTATTTTTTGTTGTTTGTTATGACAAGGAGAAGGTTCTTATAAAAAAAATTTAGAAAAGCAGAGGGGTCATCTGTGGCGTAAGTGCCTTTCGTCGTTAGCGAGATAGCTGGAAGCCGTGCAAAGCAGAGGCGTTTGTTTGTTTGTTTAAACGCGGTAATCTCCGGAACTACTGGTTCGAATTGCATATTTCTTTATGTGTTGGATATTCTTTTTATCAAGGAAGGCTATAAAACATCACGCTACGACCAATAAAGAGTCGAGCAGCCGTTAAAATCGCGTAGCTAGTTACAAATAAATCTGAACCTTAATTTCGTAATAAGTAATTATAAACATATCTGTGCTTACTCTATTAACAAGTTATTAATAACCACACAATAAACTATGATTCATATATAAAATACTTAAATCTGTTGCATTGCCAGGTTTGTAGATAAGCAAACATACTTTCTATTATGTTTTCATAAGGATTTAATTTCCAATAATGTATAGCTATATCATATCACTAGCTACTCTCGCGCGGTTTCACCCGCTGCTCGGCTCTATTTGATTGTAGTGTGATGTTTCATAGCCTATATGAAAGAATTGAAACAGTGAAAGAATTTTGGCAATCTGACCAGCATTCCAAAGATTCCCCCTACATACAAACTTACAATATTTACCTTTTTATAATATTAGTATAGAAGTATAATATTAGTATAGTAGTCTACCTGTCCACCTATTTATACATGGACTCATGATATCCGCAGAGTGACCGGCAGTGGTTGGAGCTATATTTTGATCTTAGTGCCTTTGCAAATGGAGAGGCATATGCCCAGCAGTGGACAGAATCAGGCTGATAATGATATTATTATACCTTAAAGGATAATTAATTGCCAATGTTCTCTAATTATTTAGTTATACTAAGATTCCCATGTAATAGGATGTGAGCTTTCAGTCATACATTTGTAAATTTCAATTAAATAAGTTATTAAACAATTCAAGCAGTACCAAGATGACAAATAATTATTTCCTATTTATATTTGTATTTATAAATTTCAATTAAAATAAGCTATTAAAAAAATTCAAGCAGTAACAGGATAAAAATTAATTATTTCCTATATAGATTCTCCACAAATTACAGTGTGATGGATGTATCAAGTATCAACTGTAACAACTGATTATAGAATTTCAATTACCTACATTAAGTAGGACTTTTTATGTCTTATAACTAATAATTTATTCACATTAAGATACACTTAGATTTACCAATGTCTAGTTGGAATTTTATTGGAATCTAGTAGTATTAGTACTTATTTATTTTATAAGAAAAAAAATAAATTTTGAGACACAGGGGAGTACTTTAAAATATCTTTCTATGGGTGAACAAGAGCATAAAAATTGGCAGTAGCATGTGAATAACAATCAGTGACTAATTATTATCCTCACAAATTTGTTGCAGTTAAAGAAAGTAACATACCCTACCAAATTTAGCAAAATATAGCTTAACTATCTACATTAATGGTTTGATACTACATGCTGAAGCATTTAATCTAATAAATAAATAATACTTACACATTATAATAAGCTGAGAATCCTTAAATAGTGACTTAGCTAGTGTAAACACACAATTGTCCTGAAAAATAATATGAAAATGTCATACATACAAATTTTTTTATTAAAAAAATTCTCTGAATAAAAACAATGGATTATCAATAAAGAGTTTCATTATTAAATAAAACTCATAGTTCTTATCCTCATTACAAAATGTGTTGGGTAACATAGCAACAATCAATGGAATTATCATGTTCTTTTCCTTTTATTTTATAAAGCTTTTTTCCTTATATATATTATTAACATGGGATTGTATTTTGTAACATACATTATGAAAAAGATTGTTTAAATATATTTTTCATAAAATAAGTAAGAACAATGACTCAAAAATATAAACACTTAGATCATTATTGTAGACTACATATAACTGTGAACCTGAATAAATGTGCTTGAATAGCTTCCATTAATGAGGTAATAGCAAAAATGTTACATAGCGAACTTTCATAGTACGAATTTAACATAATCCTCACCCCATTCAGCGGCAAATCCCATTTTCCAATGTCCGAAAAGCCGTGCGTTACTTTGGCAATTGCTACAATAAATATAAATAGGATCCGCAACATCGTCATCGTTTCAGGCGGAGTAATCACAAATTATTTTATGAATACTATAAAGCTACCAAACAACATTTTAATTTGGTTTAAATTACAAATAACAATTAATCGGAAAAGAAACGCATTCACTTGACAGACAGACATTTGTTTGACATTGCATTGACGAATGACGTGACGTGACTCAGAATGAACGAATGAAATGAACTTAGACTATAGGAATTTATATTTTATTGTAATAAGAAAATGAACGACGAAACCACTGTGTTGTTACCTATAAGATTATAAGATAATGCATAGTATATTGTCTATAACGTCCATATAAGATCTTTGAGGTAATGTGACTGGTGGACTGAATATAAATGAATGAATATAATCAAGATAATAATGAAAAAAGGATTCGATTAAATAATGCAGTTCTAATTTCGTTGCTGATTAGCATTAGGCACAATGTCTCTTTATGAGCCACCTTAAAAAAAAACAGTAAAGTCATTTTGCAAAATATTCTTACTAAGTGCAGTAATTTTAAATTTTTTAAACCTAAAATATTATAGTTCCAATGTAATAACTTAAATTATTTCAAAAGACTAGGGTTTAAAGAAGAACTAAAAAAAATTGACACTGACAGATCATAGAATGCATTCACGAAACCTATGGATGTCGTGTCAAAATATTTTTGTTTTGTTCTTCATATAATTCACAAATAATCGCATAATATGTCATAATTGTAATGTTTTCTATTTATTTTAATATTAAATTACGTAAATTGCTTATAATAACACTCAATGCTTATCATGTTTTGGTGATACAATATCCATAGTGTGGTACCGTGGTAGTCATGTCAGATTGCGCGCTGGTGTCCAATGTAAGCGAACACGATGCGAGTATGGACGTGGGGAACGACAAGTCTCTATTTGAGCCCTCTGTTGAAATGATGGTAAATGATTTTGATGACGAAAGAACATTAGACGAAGAAGAAGCATTGGCGGCAGGAGAGCAACAAGATCCTAAAGCCGAACTCAACAGCCTTCAGCGTGAAGGTGATATGCCCTTAGAAGAATTACTAGCACTGTACGGATACGATAAAACTATGGACAAGCAACCTACTCCAGAGCAGGCCCCTGAGGTGGTTCCTGAAGAAATTGAGAAACCAGAGTCAGCGTTACAGCAGTTATACAGTGAGACTACTAGTCCAGAAGCCACACGATGCCTTAGGTCTGGCTCAAGACCGCCTTCTGAAGAAGAAGATGACTATGATTACAGTCCAGATGAAGATGACTGGAAAAAGACTATAATGGTAGGTAGTGACTACCAGGCTGCAATACCTGAAGGTTTATGCAGTTATGATGATGCTTTACCTTATGAAAACGAAGACAAGTTGTTGTGGAACCCAAGCATGTTGGAAGAAAAAGTTACAGAGGACTATATGAAGAAAATATGTGCAATGAATTCTGGAACTGGTGTAGATGCCGTCCCTCGAGGGAGGCAATTACGAGATGATGAGGAAGCCCTATATCTACTGCAACAGTGTGGTCACAATGTAGAGGAAGCATTGAGGCGCCGGCGCATATCTGCCCAAACTCCAGCTCATGCTAGTCTTTGGTCAGAAGAAGAATGTCGCAATTTTGAAAATGGCCTCAAAGCCCATGGCAAGGACTTTCATTTGATCAGACAGTATAAAGTGCGGACACGGTCAGTTGGAGAACTGGTACAATTTTATTATATCTGGAAAAAGACAGAACGACATGATATATTTGCTAACAAAGCCCGATTAGAGAAAAAGAAGTACACTTTACATCCTGGCCATACAGATTACATGGACAGATTTTTGGAAGAACAGGAGGCTTCAGGCGCTGGTGTTGTGAGACCAGTCTCTCCATCCCCAATGATGGAGTTTGGTCCTTCTCCAGCCACACAGCCTGATCCCCTGGCTCTAGGTGAAAATGAGGTGTTTTCCCAGCTAAACACCCACACACCACCTCCACGAGCCCTGTCCATGGAGGATCCGGAACCTCCAACTGGTTCCTAATATATGTATTACTGGCATAGGCCATTCGTAGAAAGCACTGTTTGTAACATACTTAACTATGTTGTTATTAGATATAAGGGTATTTTTTCCTTATTCATGAAACTAATCCATGTTTTGTTTTTATAACACTAATATAATATTATGGACTGACTTAGAACCTTTTTGTATTTAACATTTTAAACAGTACAATGTAAATAATAAAGCTGTAAAATTATGTTACATGTTTGTGAATAAGGGAATTATGCTGAATGATATGAATGTTTGTGTATGTACCCATTGTTGAGTGGGTGGTGTATAAAATTATGTGGTAATTGATATAAGAATAAACAGTGCAAATAAGTTTGTTACTTTATTTACGTGCCTTATGCCCTTTACACAGCAATGCGAAAGGTATTTTGCTAATATTGATTGTTATTTGTAAAGCTGAAGTGGCAAACATAATGTTTGCCACTTTAGCTTAGTAATTTGGGACTAGTATGTTTGAAACATTCTAGTCCCAAAATTACTTTCAAAAATGAATATTAAATATTTGTTGCACAAATACGCCAAAATTTTAAAGAAATCTATGAGGCTCAGAGTTCTTTTATTAATTTTCATAATTTATTTGCAATTTGAAATAAAATGACTAATAGATGATAGCAAATATTAGTCAGTTTAGTTTTCCTTTGTAATTCGCCTCTACATCAAACAGATGGCAGCATAAGACTATTTCGTTCAGAAATTACACACGGTTTTTTTAGGTAACTCAAGAGGTTTTCTAGGTCTCCACAAGATAAACATGACAGAATTTAAACGTCACTTATTGTATTAGCGTTAAAAATATTTGGCGAATTTGAAAGTTATTGAAAAGATCAACAAATAATATTTTATCATTTTAGTGTGCTTACGGAAGTTATTTTACTTACCTGCATACGAAATACATTATATTTTTATAACATATATATCTAATTGTGATTTCTAGGAGGATAAAGTTTGTAGGTTATATTGATTATTTTTATTGTCAAAATAGAACTATGACTGTGAGCCCCGATATGTCGGAGAAGGAGATTCTCAACGATTTTAAAGAAAATTATGGTAAGATCAGAAAGCTGCTTGATGAGGATAGTAAAAATGATCCGGAAAATGAGCCTTATATGTCGAAATACAAAGCGAAAGGAATACTCGTGTCTATGGGCGACAGTTTGAAGAAATTACTGGATAGTCCGACTAGTTTGGATGACCTGAAGCTCCAAGCCATGTTAGGGACTGTATTACTAAACATTGGCATCATTGACATGGAAACTGAAGAGCTGTCATCAAGTGAAAAGGTTTTGTCAGAGGCCATTGACTTGCTTTCTCCAAATTCTACAAAACCAGAAATAATTATAACTCTAATAAACGTTTATAATAACTTGGGTATTCTGTGGTCAAATCGTGATGCTCCTGATAAGGCAAAAACATATTTGATACAAGCTAAAGAATTGTATGAAAATTTTAAATGCACACTGCAGTTGCCTCTGCCTATCGAACAAATTGTGAGCCCTACAGGAGAGAGTCCAATGGGAGACTTTATGTTACTTGAGAAAGCTCACACTCTGACTCTATATTATCTGGCACAAGTATTTGGTTCTTTGAGGGAGAATTTAAAGTCTGCTATTTATTGTCATGTGACATTACGTAGGCAGTTGCAGTACAATGATTATGAACCAATAGACTGGGCTCTGAATTCCGCAACATTATCACAGTTCTTTGCAGAGCAGAATGGGTTTTTCCAGTCAAGACATCATTTGGCAGCGGCTTCAACAATCTTAGAACAGTATGAAGAGAAATTGGGATCCTCTGATAATAATGATGAGGTGTTTCTGGCAAAAATTGAAACATTTAAGCATAGATCAGCTGATGTGGCACGGTGTTGGGCTAAATATTGTATTCTACTTATGACTTCATCTAAAGCAAGGCTGATGAATGATTCTGAACAAATGACTGAAGATGTGACAGGTATAATATCTCTTTATTGTTGTTACAATTGATTACTCTTCTAGATGCTTTTGTTCCACCAGCAACTTTGCAGTCTCAAGAAATCATAATATTGGCAGGGATAGATTTAATTTATTGCAGATTGTTTCAAGAATTAAGTCAATAATTATAAAATTCATATGAAAAAGCTTTTTTTATGTATTCTGCTTAAATAACATTTTATGAAATTGTATTAAAGCAGGTGGTTAATGGTTCATCTTTCATATTTCAATATTATGCCTATGATATAAATCAACTGTAATACTAATAGCTTTATTTCTCATCATTACAGATTTGTCCAATCTCAAATTGGAAGACCAAGAAAACATTTGTGGTGGTGACATCACAAAGCTTGTATTCACAGACCTGGATGTCTCAAAGTATGAGAGTAAAGTTGGAGATAAGTTCCTTCTCACTTACCAGGATGCTAGAGAAGTTTTTTTGAGCTGTCAGACTTGGCTCAACAAGGCCAAGGAGTACTACAAACTTGATACCTTAGCTTCCGATTACATAGAACTTGTACAAGACAGCTCCCAGTCATACAGTTACCTGGCTTTCTTTGAAGAGGATGACGAACGGCGCGCCAAAATGCACAAGAGAAGAATTGACATGCTAGAAGACTTACTCAAAGAAATCAATCCTGTATACTACCTACAATACTGCAGGCAACTTTGGTATGAGCTTGGTGAAGTCTACTCTGATATACTTAACATAAAGCTTGAGAAACTTAACAAATCAACAGAGAAACCTACACCTCATGCTTTGAAAAAAATCAATAATCTTTGCGAAAAGAGTATTGAAAACTTTGATCATTTCTTGAACTCTGTTAAGGATAAAGATGGTAAAATGCCCAACAAATTGGCACTAGAATTAGTAAGACCTGTCATCAGTGCTCTTGCGTTTATTGGTAGGAATAGTATGAAGAGAGTAGCTGTAGACAAGGTATTACAGTTAAGAAATGTACAAAAGAGTTTCGATTCTTATCAAGCAGTTGTTGATATTTGTACAAATTGTGAGGATGCAGCTGCAATGATGCATGAAGAGTTTTCTTTGTGCCAAGAAATGGTAAAGATATTACCAATTAAAATAAAGAGATTGCAAATTGAGACAGCACAATAGAAATACTGAAGTTTTTATTGTGAAAAACACTAAAATGTACAGCAGTGTTGTCTGGTTTACTCAGAGTGCTTGTAAAATGCTGCTTTTGAATTCATCTGGCTGATATAAGTAGTGAGAGATTTTGCTCAACAGATGGCATTAATGTCGCGTGAGCTTTGTTTGTCCAATCACAGTAGATGTCAAAAGTTCAATGTCCAATGGTTTTCACAAATTTGATTCTCCATTTGGCTGGCCAGACCTCACGCGATATTAGCACTATTTGATAAGCAGAAATACCCACTTTATCTTGATAGCGCGTCATAGGCTATAGGTACCATAATTATTATATTAGTTATGGATGCTTGAACGTTAAAAAGACTTGAAATTAAATACACATTTAATTTTTTCTACTAATATTATTTTATTACTGAAATTGATTTTTATTTCAATAAACTGTGAATAGATGAAAAGGTTACTTTAATTTAATTCACATAAAATAAAATATAGTCCAGGGTATTATGTGGCCTCTGCTTAATAGTTTGTGCTTATTAAAAAAATATATGTACAAAATATTGTTTTTTTTAATTAAAATTATATTGACTGATAAATTGTTGCAATATGTTTCATACATAGGCTTTTGATTGGGTTATTAGGTTAAAAAAGTTGCAAATGTATGTACCTACATTATATATCTAATACCAATCCAACTATATTTTTAAATATATAAGGGTGGCTACTAAGATCTTGCGTATTTTCATCATAAAAATAAAACATAAATTAAGTTTTATTGACCATTTTTTTTAATTATAGGTACTTACGTACATTGTAGCGTATATACGTAAGTTACAATGTAACTTGTAACTTATGTAACTTACGTATATACGTTATATATATATACGTAAGTTAATGTTTGTAACAAATTAAAAAAAGAACTGCACGCAGCAACTTTGTCTTGTGGGGTCGAAATATAAAAAATGGAAGCTTCCGGTCTACGGCAAAACGTCATAAAATGGTAGAAAGCAATAAATAATAAATCGATATTGTTGAAAATTACTATTTAATTATTAAAACTAGACACTAAACCCTGCTGACAGTCATATCTTACATAAAATTATTTGTAACTGGAACCGACTCCACACTTGATTTAATTGTAAAGTTTCTGAAAAGAAAATACCTATACAATTTAAATTCATATAATTTATAAACCAAGTCTAGTGCCAGCACCTGTATTACACTTTTACTACTTAGGTTACTACATACCAACATCTAAATACATAAACCTCATAAAAATCACCTAGATTTTGGTTAATATTTATTTTCTATCTACTTTTGTTAGTTAGGCTTAACTTATTACTATTTACTTGTGTAAATAGAATTATTTGATGACATACATTATTTTTCTATTCATTTAGGCACATTGGGTTTAATTTTAGTTTGTATTGATGCGTATTCAGGATACATAAATAGTTATATCTAGGTCTTTATCAAAAAAAGTTCTTTTTCTAGTTTCGATTTGATGCATTCTGACAGTAATATCACAATTGAACACTGCTTTTGATTAAACTCAACATTCATTTATTATTAGTCATCAAGTTATTTTAAATAAACTCGATGAGTTTCTACTGGATCGGTAAATTTCTGTGACCGTACTAGGTAACAAACCCTCTAAGAAGACACTGTATATAATTCCTGGGTATACGCACCAAAATATTTAATAGAAAAGGAACTTCGTTAGAAAAAATATCTACCTACATAAAAATTATATTACATTGAGCTACTTCTAAGAAATGGTGCATTTTCTGAGAAACCGAGGCCGGCTCCATACATAGACTCGATTCATTGAATTTGAAACCGAGCCAAATAGCACTAAAATTATATCAGGCACCTAGTGCAATTTTTCCTTCTTACTCATACTAGCTCCGATAAGCCGAAGAATTTGGTTTAATACTATCCTTAGGACTAGAATTAAAAATACAAAACTAAGTAAGATCACAGCTGCTACGTCTAGTAAATTATATTCTATGAAACCCATATCCCTGGAAGTGGAGTGCAGGGGATCCTGATGTCCCCATCGTATGACCCTCTCAACCCAGTATACAGCAGTGTCCAAGGGATCTGCTATCCTGTCTTGCCAGATTTTTGATGCACGTCGAGCACTCATCCGCATTCTAGAAAAAAGAAAATAAATTCTGTTAGTATTTTTACTGAGAAAGATAAAATCATTTTGATAATGTAAAATCGACCATTGAACGCGTTCCATTGTTATTTTGCAAACAATAATACATTTTGTAAGAAATATCATGAGTTAAGATGAAATAAAATAAGCGATTTATCGTATTTTCATTGTTAATGTACTATGTAGATACATTTGTACAATATATTTACAATTACCAATATTTTACAGGAATTTATTCTGTTGGAATAAATCTTTCTAATAAATTCTAATTAATCTTTAACATTATTGGTTAAACGTGTTGAAATTCTTTGCAAAAATATCCGCTACGTGGTGACTGACAAAGCTGAAAAATAGTCAGTTACAGTTATATAAATATGAAGTCACGTTGTTGTGACGTCAATATCATTGTTTACCTATTCCTATATTCCATTTCCACTGCCATTTAACTGTCTTTTTTAATTATTTTAAGATGTTTAACAGTTATACTTATTAACGGTTACCGAAACATTAAACATAACAATTTATTATGTACCCTAGTAGATAAAAGTGCGTCGATTTCTTAGTCTCAACTAAAAGTTTCAGCCGGGGTTGCGGGGTAAGCGCAATGAGGCACCGCGACCTCGGCACAGAGCAGGAGAAGGAACAGGGGGGTTTTTAGTCAGTAAGAGTCTGACACTCCCTCCTGCCCGGCCCTGGGCGGGAGGAGTCATTGGATGGTTTTCCCCTCACAAAAAAAAAAAACTAAAAGTTTCAAGTATTTTCATCAACTGGGGACTGGTTACCTACCACATACTTATCTTACTACATATCTAGAGGACAACAAACTTTTAAGATAATACCATGGTTTGGTTGTATGTTATGGTTATAGAATAATTGTAAGAGAACCCTAAATAGATTTGCCTATTTTAAAGAGCACTGACACCTCATTATGTAATGTAAGCTGGCACATTGCCATGTGTAACAAGCAAAATAGAACTAGATATAATAGTTTTACCAATACCTACCAAAAAGTAGACCATTCAAAATTAGCACCGAAATTCCAAACAGCATAGGTAGGTAGGTATACGGTTGCATAAAATTTAAATTTCCCTTTTTTTTGGAAGATGCGAGTTTTCTAAGCATACCTACCTAGGTAGATGCGTAGTCAGTTAGTACGTATATCTGGATACTACTAAGTATCTACTGTTTGATTTGAGAAAAAAAGCCAAATAAAATTATTTAGTCATCATGTCGCTACAAAAGATATCATAATTTTTATTTTCCGAACAACAAACCACATCTGTACGAGATAAGTAATTTGATTTCATTTTATTGTATTAGCAATATTAATTTGCATTTAGATGATTACCTCTATAGATGCCAAGCATCAAAATCCACTTTTTGTCGGCTACTGATATATAAATTGATTATTAACAATTACTTATTATGTAAGTACGTGAGTAAGTACCTAGCACAGTAATAATATGAACAAACGCATTTTAAATCCAAATACAACCAACTCTTTGTTCTACATGACTCTGGAATCTGGCGCAATAACATTTAAATGTTTATTTATTTCCTATTAATATAATAAATATGGAAATGAAGCTAGCACGCTTAAGTAATGCTAACGTCACAATACATATATTTTCCTCTATTTCCAAAAACAGGAACGCTCTTACAAAGTTATTTCGGCGGGTATCGTTGTCAAAACGTTGACGTTTCGTGAAAATATTATTATAATTTGACCGGAAGTCATCCTAATTTAGATAACACTTAGGTACTTATAGTAGGAAAATATAATTTCTTTTTAATACATCAAAAATTAAATGTTTCTAAAAAAATGTTATGATTCTCTTAATTTTTTTGTTTTGTTTTATTGCGTACCTAGGTACTTATAAGTAAGTTGGAATGTTGTAACATAATTTTAATTTTAGCATAAGTCTATATCTAATAATAGATATTATAAAGTAGCTAGTAATCGTCCATTTCCATCCGCTGGTTGGATTTTCAAAATTCTTTCATTTACCTACTGATAGATAGCTTTAATGTTCCTGAGTGCTATAGGCTATAAAATATCACGCTCCTAAAATGGAGACAGTACATAACAAAATCAATTAATTAGTTGTTTATTTATGAATAAAACTGCAACTGAGTAGTCGAACACTTAAATGAGACATCTTTCTTGACTTACCTACAAATGATCAGTACACGTTTCTGATATTACTCAGACAGGTTAATTTAAAATGTCCATTTTCATAATTGGTAAATCTATCTATGACATAAACAATAAACAAGTAATGTGCATTATTATTATACCTACTACTCAATTTTCCTATAGGTACCTGCCCACCTGTTTATTGATTTTCTAACCTAAGTATAGGTATATTTTCCACGATGATAATTCATTTCAATAGGTTCATATTTAATTTCCAGGATAAGGCAAGAGTGAGTGTCAGACTCTAACTGACTAAAACGCCCCCGTTCCTTCTCCTGTTTTAGGTCGAGGCTCCGGTGCCATATAGCGCATACCCCGTAGCCCGGTTGAACATCAGCCTTGTAGGGCCCCATCTGTGGTGGTCTTTGAGGGGCGGAATGCTACGCGCCGTACTCGGGTTTGGTTTTCGTTGGGTGGCGAGTTACCCTTATTCGCCGTTCGTAGACCCGCGCTTACGATGGCCGGAGATCGTCTCTCGAGCACCGATACCCGGAGTTATGAAGCGCGGAGGATAGCTCCCTCATGCGGTGCGGTCCGCCTCATTCTTTGCGAGCATAACTACCAACAGATCTGTTCCGGTGTTTTGCCAAGTTATACCATAAAAAAAGAAAATTAGTGATTACTTACTCAGGGCTTAGTACACTCTGTAGTCCTTCAAGCAAGGATTTTTCTGACATATCGGCATAGGAAATGGCCTTGCCAAGACCTATGGCTGTAGCAGCTGCGCCGTTAAGCATCTGGTCTCCATAGAAGGGCACGATGAGCATCGGTTTACCAGCAGAAATGGCTTCCGTCATGCCCAAAAGTCCCCCATGGGCAATGAAGGCGATGACTTTTTCATGTTCTGTAAGGAAAATAATGTTTGGGATTATTTGGATGTCTAAATAGAAACGAGTGTCAAGAATCAATTGATTTGCGATTTGGGTATCAATTGCTTGAGAAGAATACTGGATCATATCTAATATGTATGTATATGAATGACATAGATCAGAAGGAAGATAGAGATCTAGAAGATGTTGAGTAGGCCCATTAAATAGGTTCTTATCAGTTATTCATATTTAGGTATTTAGACATCATTCAGATTTTACCTACAGAACTTAAGGTTTAGTTATTCAAGTTTTCCTTTTTAAGAATAACATGGAAAGGTAGTGCATATATTATTTTCCTATAATTCGAATAATATAAATGTCCTTTAATCCTACTTATTACTTCATCCAAATTCTTGGATTAAATTATGTCGATCGTCGATCAGGATTCAGGATAATCATAAACCTGACCACAACCCACAAGTTATCGTGATTTGCTGTTGATGAATATCATCATTCTAATTTTAAAATTACACATCGTTCGTCTTAGTTACTTCCTTCTACGAATTATTAGATCATAAACAAAGGTAGTAAGAACAAAATTAAAAAAATACAACGTCAATTTTTCCCTAAGTTTATTATTGTATAATCATGATTAGCCTACTGTTTGTATCAAGGTAGGTCCCTATCTTTGTAATTTATGTAGAGTATGTATCTATAACATAGAGGAATAATCCGGTGGTTATATCCTCTTTGATCTATAAGGAGTTTCTTACTCGGTCTTTTCCGAATTACGAGGGCTTGTTGGCAGTTTAAGCTAGTTTATCATAGACAAATCTAGATAAAAGCATCTTTCATAAAGCCGTCTCGTTTCATTCAGGAAATCATGTGATCGTTTAAAGTACTTTTACATACTTAAGTCGATTTTGAAATTTATTAATTATTGATGTTATTGAAGTAAATTATTGGACCATAATTTCAACAAGTGTTATTAGGTAGGTACTTACGAAGCAATTCATACTGTGGAATCCATTTCACTTTCAAGATATTGCCGGTCAGCGTTCCCTCTTCGTCACTGTTCTCATATTTCCAAATGACCCGCTGCTTTAACTTTGAAAGGGCGTTCACTATGATCTCTTCTTTGTACTGTGGTATGGTAGCGGTTTTGATGAGTGAACCCCAGCTGAATAACACGACCCCATGTTCGGATTCGTTCAAGAAACGCTCGATGTACTGAAAAAAGAAAAATGAATAATTAATTATTTTTTAGTTATCTCTGAGTAATTTTCAACAGAAGTGTGGCAGAAATATCAATGAGATCTTCTCAAAGAAATCTTATTTTTTATCTACTCTGGTACTTCCTGATGTAACTTATATTGCCCATTATAAATTAAAAACTTTGACTTATCATTGAAATTGATTTGAATAGATCATTGACTGGGGGACAAATTCATAGGTACCACGTGGTTCCGATTGTTGTAGCTAGTGTCTCGGCAGTAGGTACATACCTACGCATAACTTTTATATTTCCGAAATGGATAGGCTGAGATTTGCTTGCTACTTTACTACTTAGTTACACAATAAAAAAAATCTTATATAATAAAACATCGATATCCATATTCTGTTATAGGATACCAACTTGAGATTCCTCTTTTTAACCGCAATGACGTAGGTACTGCGGCTTGGCTTGTATTGCTCCGAGCAAGGAATAGACCGGGGTGGTCATTTGTCAGTAAGTCTGATACTGTCGCCCCAATAAGAGCGGAAGAAGTCATTGGATGATTTTCACCCCTCAAAAAACCACTGTTCATCATAGCCCACTACTGAGAAAAGGTCTCATCTCACACGGAAATGGATTGAGGCTTATTCAAGGTGGATTGGCGAATTATAAGTAATTAAGTACCTACGTAAGTTTCCTTTTGATGTTTTCTTTTACCGTAGACTAGTGGTGTCAAAATTATCATAGAAAGTACCTACAAACATATAACCGAGAAAAAGTCACACAGCTACTTGCCAGGTTACGAACTCTCATGCATTAAAAGCGGACGCCTTAACCCCCAGGCCACCGTGACACTTCGACTCTTGCTCTCTTGAGTCTCTTGCATTTGTGATCACTAGACTAATGGTGCCACTAATGATTCTTGAAAACGTACCTATTTCGAAATTTCTTCAGTCGTTAACGTATTCTCGAATGCTTTTGTTTACGTAAGGTCACACTGGGTCACCGGCATCCTTGTTAGGGCCACTGGCCTTATTTACTTTGCAGACAATATATGTTAAGTCATTGACTGCCGACAGATTACTGTTGAGGGAAGACCCTCTTTTAGCGTGGCCCACATGTTGTGGCCCCATGGCGTTCAACGTGTTAATCACAAGATCTAACTTTACGGGTCGTTAAGGGTGAGGCCGTCTCCTCTTGGTGGAGATATTTTTTAGACTGCACGGTTGGTGCGGGTGGCTGGGCAACTGGCTGTCGTGCAACGTGTCGCGGGTTCGATTCCCGTACGGAACAACTCTTTGTGTGATCCACAAATTGTTGTTCCGGGTCTGGGTGTCATGTGCATGTGAAATTGTATATTTGTAACCGCACCCACGACACAAGAGAAAATCCTAATGTGGGGCAACGATTTTTTTTTTTAAATATGGAATAACAGATGAACGAGCTGACGTATTAGCTGATGGTCAGTGACAAGACATCTGCGGCACCAGAGGAATCACAGGCGCGTACCCTATTAGGTAATTTACAACTCATTCAACGATTGCCAAAGACAATTGTTATCTTATCGCTTAATTAGAAATCAGTACAGTCATTGAAGGTTGAATATATTAGTATCGATATTTAGGTCATGGGTGGCATTTGTCTCGGGATGAAAATAGCACATAAGTGTATATATGGGTATGGACACGAAAATGGTACGCAATATGACTCATGTGCCTGCACATCTATGGATAGGTACTAATATTATAAAGAGGTAAAATTTCAAATTTGGAAGTTAGTATGTAGGGGGTAAATCTTTGCAACGGCTGGTCGGATTTCCAAAATCCTTTTACTGATGGATAGCTAGGTACAATGTTCCTGAGTGCTATGGGCTATAAAACATCACGCTATATATGATCAATAGCAGGGCCGAGCGGCAGTAGCTGGTATATTATATATACATATACATACACATAAATGCATGCACTTATGTATAAATAACTGTGGATGCGGATGAAACGGGAGCGACAGTGGGGAACGGTGTTGATATAAGGATATGTTCACATGCATAGTGTTTATAAGTATTTTATACATGTCGATAACGCAGTTTTAATGTTCACACTATCAGAACTAAGTAGTGTAATTGGTTTTAAGTGTGGGAGATCCAAGCTTCGGCACGAGTGGGTCGCCCTCGACCTGAGTGATAACACGGCCTCACAGAAAATCGGCGTGAAACAACCGAAGCGCTGTGTTTCGCCGTCTGAGTGAGGTTACCGGCCCGCCTAATCCCTTCGCCTCTCTCCATTCCTTAAATATCCGAAACCCCTTATCCCCAAAAGGCGACACACTCGTACCTCATTTGGCGTTGCGGGTGTCCTTGGGCGGCACCGATTGCTTACCATCAGGTAATCCGTCTGCATGTCTGCAGACCTATCGCATTAAAAAAAGGCTTACGATGAGTATATAGTACCTATATCTATCTATGTAGTATCTAATATGCAATCTAAACCTAAACAATTAAGAAACCAAGAAAATTATAGGTACCTAGTAGTGCTTAGCCTAGTCAAACTAAAGAGTAAAACCGATTTTAATGAAACTTGTCGATGTTACTATACCTACATTTAATACTTTATTATCAGCATATGCATGATAACGTCATTTTATTGGGTCGTGCTTTAGAAATTAATATACGAAAAAAAAACTAAAAAAATACGCTGTATGAGTACTCCCTAACGTCCATCATTCAGTAACTGACGCCCGGAGTAGGTGGCACAGTTTGTTGTTTAATAAGAAAATTGCTTAGACAAATGTACTTTGCTATGTTGCACTTAGGGTTGCCAGGTCGTTAGGCCTTATAGCCGGACAGACCAGCCCGTTTAGCCGGACATTTAGCTAAAAAGGCCGGACACACTACATTCTTAAGGATTTTTTATCTCAGTATTAATAGGTACGACAAGATTTAATGTAAATCAAGCATTTTGATTATTGTCATAAAGTCATAAATCTTGTTGAATTCTTATGAAATAATTAATAAGTCTAAGTCTTTGCTTCACTCCAGCCATGTTTGGTGTTTCGTTTGCGATTGTGAAAAGTTTAGGTAAAAAGCCTAACAAAAGCCGGACAGGCCGGACACCGTTTATTTTGGCCGGACTAGCAATCAAAAAGCCTACCTATGTCCGGCTTTATGCGGACGCCTGGCAACGCTAGTTGCACTAGAATCAGTAGAATATACGATTGGACATCACGAGCTGAGCAATCAAACAATGGATCAAGGATTTGATAAGTTGTTATTACAATAATTATTAGGTAATTACCAATAAGAATGTAAGCGAGGTGCTTGAAAATGTTTTAAAGTTCGTAATTTAAAAAAAAATGAATTCTTAACGGAGTTCTCATTTCAAATTCCTTCGTTTCTAGATAAAATAAAAAGTGCCAGTGCAGTGAGTAAGTAAGACCTTTAACAGATTTCTTTATGCTGCACCTAAGTAATAAAGAAATCTGTTTAATCGTTTCGTGAATTAGGTACGACTAAAAGGGAGTTGATTTTATTTTATAATATTGATAGATTTAGAATAAATAGCTATATAGGAATATAAAGTGAGAACTCCGTTTCGAATTCGTATTATTACGAACTCTAAAACACTTGCAAGCACATCATGTCGTGTACATTACTATTGGGAATATCTACATCATTATTGTATTGCCTATCAACTTATATGTAAGTAATCACTACTTACCTGTAATCAAAGTTCAACCATTCTGATAACAAGTATAGACAAATTACTAAACATTCATCCAAAACTGGCTTAAAACCAAATATTTATAAAAATAAAACTAGTAGGGCTTGATAAATTCATTGACGATAATTTTCCCCGAGTGATTGGTAGGTAGATAGGTAGGTACATACCAAAGTGAAACGCAACAGTTTTTTTTATCTCGCTTCCAGTCTTTCACTTGACGTCTTAGAAAGTGGAACTAAATTGCAAACTTCGTGGTTATTGCGAATTTTTTCGTTAAATAATATTCTGCTATGGGCCTTCTTTATTTACACCACGGACATCGCAGTTTAAGTAATTCTTTTTCAGTTTATCAGAGAGTAAATCTACTTAACAAATGAGTTTTTGAGTAATAAACAGATTTAATTTACACTACACCCTCACTTTACCTACATTGTACTCGACTCTGCCACATAACAAAGTGTCATATGATACGGTAAATAAATGCATTAGTTCCTTGTATTGAATAATTGTGTATCATTTTACTTTGTTTACAATCCAATCATGTGACTATAGAGGTACAACATGTACCGCCGCCATATTGCAACTGTTCGCGCCAATAATGACAGTTAATGTTCTTACATTATCTGTCATTCAATTGTATGAATGCACATAGCATGGGCACTAGGTAGTCAAAACATTAGAATTTCATTGCTTTTAGTTTTCAAGTTCTCTTTGTGCCAGTTACATTTAATTTTATTCTAAGTTTCATTTAGGTCTTCATAGTAGAATAGATAAATAGAAATGGATACGATGTTGTTACAATAAGGAAAAAAGTATGATTATTAGAGAATCCATATGGATGAGTGTAGGGCGTAGGTAGTAGTAGGTAAATAAATTAGTAAATCAATTAGTTTTATTATAAGGTGTCAATAAAATTAACAAAATCTATCTGCGATGTACCCGGGATTGCCCAACCGTCTTCTCAGTTTACTATCATCCGGCGGCGTACCAGACATCGCAGTTTAGCCAATAAAAAAATTCCAATTGTCGTTACTTCTATTTTTTTTCCGTGTCATTATTTAAAATATTATGAAAAAAAAAGAAACATAGTCTTATTGCCAGACTGACACAAAAAAAACGATGTGTCTACAATAAAAGTTTTTTAAAGATAAACGAATGTCAATGACCCTAACCTGACCTGACACATTTAAATCAATTTAAAAATGATACCAGTAATGTATTAATGATTAATTAGTAGGTACATCAACATATATTATCTATTTCCGACTTTTCGTTTTGTTATGGCTACATTACGT